TATAGTTTATTCATAGTATAAAGTAATTAGAATGAAAGATTGACAGGGAAATTGCTTGAACGAAGTCCATCATATTTGAATAGCACAGACCACTATGAGTTAAATGGTAATCAGTCCAACCAAGAAGCATCATAAAACAAGAGTAACCTCCTTTTATCATTTTTTTACTTACACATTAATAATTGTACATTCAAGAGGTAAAAGTGATGCTGCAATAAAGGGTACCTGGTCGTTGCATGTCAGTGAGCTGCTTATATGTTAGTGATGAGATACTTTTAGAAGTGATCGAGTGAAAGGTTGCTGATTGGCCAGAATTTGTGTTTGTGGTTTAATATTTGACCCATGTATCAAGGATATGTCTTATCAAAGAATCTCCAATAAATCCATGAAAACGTCTTGTTTCTGATATCTTCTTGCATATTTGTATTAACTATAGGCCTAAAAATGCATTCGAGACCGTCACAAAAGAGCCTGGAAGTCATGGGACCAACAATACTAAGTGGGTTAACATTTTGACGTCAGGATGTCACCATCACCGATGCTTTCAATCCGCAGCCTAATTAATAGTTTGTTTGACACTCCTGTTACTTGGGCACAATCCCAAGGCGCAAATACACAATTCATTCACGCTCGAGCGCAGACCAGATCATGGAAGTGCAAACTCGTCACACCTTAACACCACTCGACATTCAATTATCTATTACCTGTTAGTTTTTCCTTTTGATTAGTGTCCAAGCACGCAAAGGACAATAAACAAAAGTTCCCCGAGCCATCAAACAAATGGAATTCATTGATTTATTTTCAAAGACGATATCGTCCGCTGGTGTGGACGCTAATTTCGCTATCTTTATAGTTATCTTTATAGTTATCGTTCTTGGTGTGAATGGACCTTGTACGTAGCCTAAGGGATCCTCTCTGTTCCAAGCCATAAAGGTCAAGATTCATCGGTCAACACATGAAAGTGATCTGACAGATGCGGTCTTGCATCTGTCCCTTCCAAACAGTTTACACGAAATTTGGTTTGTCATAAACATCAGACTGTCCTACATGTTGCAGATGATATAAGATTCAAAATTAAACTGACTGTTGGTAAACGCTCTTGTACATTATTTTGAACATCATTAGAGCACAAGCCAATTGCTTGAAGCATTTGATTAAAACATGGTAGGACTAATGATTATAAATGCATTTCTAAATAAATTGTGACTATCCTGTGACAATTCATGCCTGTTCATGCATGAATAGTAGTGGCTGAACGATATGGATTTTTTTTTTTCATGTAATATCACACTATTTAATTTAAAGATAGTACAAGCACGACTGTTGAAATGAAATTTCCATTTGTTTTACATGTTTATATATTCACTTAATAATTTGAATATAAATATGAAAAAATTACAATTTATTTAAAAAAAATTGTAAAATAAACCTTTATTTAGATAGCAAATTCTTGGTTCTCTAATCGTATTTTAGTTTTTTTTCACAAATTGTTAAAAAAATATCTATAAAAAGAAAGTAAATAGTGTAAACAACAGTGCACTAAGTAATTGAAAGTCTGTGAATGAAACGGAATGGGAGCTCTGTGTGTTCAGCATTGTAAAAAAAAAAGTTCAAAACATCGGCCAAATAGAAAAACTTATCGGCCAATGTGCCCATAATTACAAAATCCCAAATATCAGCTGATATATCAGCCCACCACTAATGAACAGTCTTGAATTGTTTGTATTTTATTTATATTTATATATTTGTTGTTGTTAAAATAAGTTACAATATATATGGTTTGACTGCAAAAAGTGTATTACCTGAACCATAACCCAAAATGATGACCATTTCCAGATGGTGATGCTGTGGACATATAGGGATCAGACAAATTTGTTTACATCTTAATATCTAGCTCCTAATAAACTCCACTTTTGTCCTACAGGCAGAGGAACAACTACGAATAGTTGAAGAGCAGAGGAAAATACACGAGGAGCGTATGAAGTTGGAGCAAGAGCGACAGAAACAGCAGAAAGAAGAACAGAAGATCATTTTGGGGAAAGGGAAGTCGAGGCCTAAACTGTCTTTCTCTTTAAAGGCCTCTGAGTGATGAAAACAGTGTGGCCAGGATTACTCCAGACTTTCTCCAGACCACCTCTCCTCGTGAGGCATTTGAGCTGCAACACAAGTTGTTCTTCTTAGGTCTCATGTGGTGTGTTTCAAATTCTTAAGAACAATGGGAACAATCAGTTTGTCAAATACCCTTCAGTCTTTTTTCCTCTTTCACCTGTCTGTTTTGTATTACTGACTCTTGTATCGATAGCCACCACTTGTCCTCCAGGTAATCTCTGCAAACTCATTTGGTGCATTGTACGAGTAGGGTAAAAAAAAGGTCTGACCTGACCCCCTCATCCAAACATACGTCATGGTTTCCAGTTTCACTAATTCAAGACCTCAAAAGATTCTCCTGGCTGATTTGAAGTATTTTTTATATATATATATA